CATATTATTATTTTTTTCATTTATAGATGTTATTGCTTAAAAAAATATGTATATATTTTTTTTTTATTTCATTTAATTTTTGGAAACTTATTTTATGTATTTTTTTCTTCTTTAATTTATTTCGCCTTTATTAATTTAATTTTGTTTTAATTTTTATGTCATTCTTTTAAAAAGAAGAATATTTTTTTTTTTAATTTCATTTTAAGGTACTAATTTTTTCTTAATAAATATATTTTTAACTTCATTTTCCTTTAATTCTTAGATTTTATTTTTTTTTTAAGAAAAATGTAAGTTATTATTTCACTTAATTTTTATTATCTTTCTTAATTTGTTGTCTTTTTTAATTTAAATATATTTTAGTTTTTAGATTTTGTTTTAAATATAAAAATGTGTTTTTTTTTTATTTTCCTCTTTTTTTGGTTTACTTTTTTTCTAATTTAATTTTTGTGTCTATCGTTTTAACAAAATTTTTTTGTTTAATATTTTTATTTATTTATTATCTTTTAATATTTAAAAAAAAATATATATATATATGTAATTTTTTTAGTTCATTGAATTAAAAAAAAATATTGCATACTCAAAATTTTTCTAAGAAATCTACATAAAATTTCGAAGTTTACCAGAGGCCATACTGGATCCGCCATTTTAAATTTCACATTTATGACGGCGGATCCGTAATTAGCGATCCCAAAATTTCGAATCATTTCTTTAAAGCTTCGAATTTTGGCCGCACTGCGCGTCATAACAATTTAGGTGCGTGCAAATAACATCTGTCAGATACATGCTTATTTCGGTGCGACGGATGCCATCAGCACGAGTGCATAATAGGCGTGATTAATTATCTTATCGTTTTTTATTACAAAGCAAGTCAAAAGCCAGTTATTTGCATATCTTTATTATTTTACATTTATAGTTATAGTGGTGGTTGATTTAGCTTCTCGTTTTGCTATCTAGAGACAGCCGCGTAGCTTCATAGATGTTTCTATGCTAAAACCTAGTACTGCATAAGTACTACCCTGTAGGGGCACCAAGGAAGTCGATCAGTCTCATTTCGTTATCGGATGTTTCTTCATAGAGGCTGAAATTTCTGACGGTGGGCCAAAAGATCCCTTCCTGCCGCACCCTGGAATTGAAGTCGCTAAGCAGAATTTTGATATCGAGACGGAGGAAGCGATCGTATGTGCGCTCCAAGCGCCCAAAGAAGACTTTCTTGGACGCCTCATCCATCTCTTCCGTTGGGGTGTTGGTGCAAATGAACAAGTTTTTGAAGAATCTCGCTTTTATGTGGTCTGTAGCCCGTCGACTGGGTTCAACGACAGTGCTCGGCAACAGATTCTCTCTTCGACCAGAAGTCCAACATACATAGTTCATAGAAATTTTTGGATGACGACGAAATCAGCCTTCGTATTTTTGAGGACATCAACCGGCCTCACAATGTAGTCCTTTAATCATTTTCAGTGGCCTAGGCTTCGTTGTTCTTTTGAATAGAGTTTGTTTAAAATGATGGGCCCCAAGCCCAGCGCACTACCCATTGCTGGGAGTTTGCCTTCTCACATTAACTCGTTACCAAATGGGTGCTCAGTTGCTGTCCAGAGGTGTAAACACCGGAAGTTGTGGGCTGCAACAAAAATCATTTTGGCCATTTCCTAGCGATGGCCAATTAAAAACTTGCCCACATGCAGGGCGTTCTGGACCCGAAACCATCCCCACACACTAGTTTATAAACAGCTCATTAAATTAAACTTTGAACGAGGTCTCGCAAAGCTGATATCGCCGACGTCCACGTTGCGTCCAGCGCTGCCACTGACAGTGAAATAGGCATAGTGCATCGGATTAAAACACAGCGGCTCCAAAAATATACAACGCAGATCGCCATCCTGGTAACAGAGGAAGTGGAGCGCATTTGACATTTCCAATTTGCGCCAGTTGGCACAGAAAAGAAACGACTGGCGTACTTTGTTGGACTCGGCCACAATCGCTTAGGCAGTTACAGCGCTAATCAAGAAAAAGAAATAGACTTACGAAATTTTGGCTTCTAATCTTGGATGTAAATATTTACACGCACTAGAACAAATACAACTAAACCCATAAACTTATTATGTCTACATCTGGTATCGCTTACTGTCGAATGAGCCATATGCAAATACGAATTGTGTTTTAGTAGTCAAAACATATTTATTTGTTTGAGATAAAAATAAAACAAATTCACACCATTTAGCAGAAGAAATTTACTGAGGAGAAAATAAGCAAATATGTACGTGTATACAAACATAGGTATCGCAATATTTATCATACCGATAACATTTGGAGATGTGTTTTTCTATATGCTATGAATATTTATATATGTATATGACAAAATGCCAATAAATAAAAGGACAAATATGTGTGTCGGATAAAATTTTAGCTTGCATATTGATAAATATATCGTTAAAATAATCGATAGATGTAAACATTAATCTATCGATGAATTTAACAAAGTTTAAATCTAGTCCTATAGGATGAACTTTACAAACAGTATCCATAAATTTGTCGCCTAGATCAATGGAGTTTCCTACAGGGCAGGGTCAAGTCAGGCTTTTAACCATGAAATGCTAAGCACTGGGCGGAGTTGACTCTCCCGTCAGTTATGTTCTTTCATGATGAAACAGCAGAGTACTTTACCTGCTGAAAAACAAAAGCTTTGATGCTCAAACCAACACGGATGACGCTGTCGTCCAAGCCAGAGACTGATTCGAAGAAACACTTTCAATTATTCAGCATAGTCGTAAAAATAGTGTCCTCATCAACTTCTTTAGAAAAAGAATATGGAGGGAACTATAAAAAGGCCTATAAGTTCATAAAATCTAAGCTCGCAATCTGGTTACATGAAACTTTATAGGTTTAAGACGATGGAAGTGAAACCGGCACAGTCCAAAGTCAACGAACTCTAAGGACTGCTCTGCCTGAGTATCTGCCTGCTCGAGATCTACTAAACATACCCCCTCTAGCTTCCAAACTTAAAGCAGAGAAGCTTTTCCTTTTGTAACAACTATTTTCAGGAAGAAATGTGGACCGAGGTATGCGTGTCTAATTTGCCATCCAAGATTCAACTTTGAGCACAATTTTAATGCCTTCTTTCCAAACAAATTTGATTGGAAGGACCGAAGTCTTGGAAGGCTAGCCATTTCAATACCTTATTTCCAAGCAGATCTGCGTGAGAAAGGTAAAGGCCTTAAGCTGGCACACCGATGACGAAAAGACCGACCATGCCAACAGTGCAGTGGACATTGGTTTACAATCAAGAAAACTGCTATTCACCAGCATGACTAAAGGCAACTCTTTATGCCAGGTCAACGTGCTAGAGCTATCTCTAACACAGTAGGTAGGTTCGCTTACGAAAAGCAAAGCGACGTTCTACGCCTACAAAGTACACGCAAAGTTACTACCATGTTGTTGAATTGTGATTAGGCATTAGAAAGCCTCGCATCTATCGGTTCTCGGTTGCAGTAAATGCATGGGACTTCAAGCAACAGATGTTTTTTTCCGCCCTTTCGGACTGACTGAATAATATTATACCTAACAGCAGAGCCACTGTGGAGTTTTTACCAAACCTAGATATTCCGTTTTCGTAGTCCTAGGAAATTGACGCATTTCTTAAGGGATCATCCGAGGTCCCAAATCATAACAGCGTGGATAAGCAAAGACACAGGTTTTGAATTGAAAGTTGTAACAACATGTCTAACTCAGGTTGCAGCGACAAGCTGACTTTCTACCTCCTCTAAGAGTAATCTAATCTACTAACGTTCCGCTTAATTTCGATAAGGCAACGAAGTGACAATAATCTCTGAATGTGTTTGCCCTTTTGTCATTTTAATGCCTAGTGCAAATCCGGCATTATGCTACATTACTACATAATTACGAAGAGTTTTGCATATTGAATATGCGTCAGAAGCTCGAAGAGGTGAGCGACCGAAAAAAATACAACAGACCTAGGTACACACAGATGCTTTTTTATGATACATAGATTATGTATTTAAAGAAATTTATGTGCGGAATTTTTTTCTTTTTTTTTTAATATCACTATTGAAATAAATTGCCTCTACTCGGGATAGCTATCTTAATACATACTCGCCTAGGATAGGCATAGTGTGATAAGTACTTAGTGTATTATTTACGCAGTTGTATGAAAACTATAAACAAGTTCTCATCCGCTTTCTTCGGTTTATAAAGTAAGTAGAGATAAACGTATAAAAGTCCAAAAGTTTTGCCATTGTAGCATAGTTTCACTAACGCCACGTCTAAGTGCGTTTATTCCCGAATATCAAAGAAAGAAGAAAACACAAATTAAATCAGGATGCGTTTCTTATTGCTATTGTCACTTTTGGCCTTAGTCTCGTTGTCCTACCAGCAAACGTCTAATAGCACAACTGAGGCATCCACAACCACAGCAGCTGGTGGAAGTTCGAATACAACAGCAGCAGAATCGACAACAACAACGGCGGCAACGTCAACCACTCTGGTACCCTGTACCAATCCCTGCACGCACGCCTATAAACCAGTTTGTGGCATGTACAATGGCAAAAAGCGTACTTTCGAGAATCTTTGCATTTTGAGAGCGAATAGACGTTGTGCCCGCAAACGAGGTACTTTGGGTAAGTGTAGAAATTTATAAAAGTTTAAGAAGTATATTTTTACATTTTTTCTTAACTATTTCTTCATTAGCACGCCTTGGCATACGCTATTTATATGATGGAAGATGTTAGGCTACCCGTTGTCACAATAAGTTGTTGAAGAAATAGCCGAACACGAGGCTTCAAACTGTGTACTATTTTCAAATAAAACATAAAATTAAAAAAAAAACATGTCTACAAATTTTAAGAATTTAATTGGCCAGCAATTGGGGTACTCCAGAAGCTACCTTTCAGGATATGGTTCTTAGTCTCTACTTGCATTATTTTTTCCATTAACTATGTATATATATGTCAGTTTTTATGCCAATGACCCAATAATTTTCGCCACCGGTTGCTTTGTCTTCATTTTCGGGATATGTATTTCTCTGCTTTCTACTTAGGTTAACGTTTAGAACACACGCTCGCGCAATAAGACCGAATAAAGCTGTATGGTTCAAACAAATCTTTGCAACCCCACCTCCCATGATATTGCCACTATTTGTGAAGCTTCTGCCTGCCTATACCACGATCATTTTTGCTCACTTTTGTCTCATGTGATTAACTTTTCGGCTGACGTAATTGCTCCTTTCGAAAATTCCTCGATTATGATTCATTTCGGCAGCGATTCTCATTTTGAAACTCCTAGGAACTCAAATATCGAGCATATGCAGGCGATGTAGTGATTATGGCCACCGATTGATCTCTTCATTAAGAAAAGTGCTTCACAGAGTGCTCTGAGGTTAAGGGAACTTAGACTGGACGTATCCTGTACTCCTTCAACGACCTAAGCATTCGCAAATAATCTGACTGAATTTATCCTTCACTTCTTTCAAGAAAACCTTCCAATGTTTCCGCCAAGAAAGAAGTGGAATGAGCCTCTTTTTTATAAACCCTTCGAAGTATCAATTTTTACGGACGGCACAAAAATGGATTTTGGCATAGGGTGGCGGCAATTTTTTCCACCGGCCTCCAAATCGAAGAGTCTATTCGACTACCGAAATCGGCCAGTATTTTTCAGTGTGGCAGAGGTCTGTGCCATCAAATAAGCATGCAAAATAATTTTTGGCTCGAAGTTAGCAGGGACCAGCTTTTCTATTTTCTCGGATAGCCAGGCAGCGATCAGGGCACTTGCACCTATAAGCATCACCTCCAGCATAATAAAACAGTGCAGAGAGAACGTTATGGCTTTAGGTGACAGACATGTCGTTGCACTGAACTGGGTGCCGGGACACAGCAGAATTCATGGTAATGAAATGGCTGACAAGCTAGCCAGGAACGGGTCGGTTCTGGATGTCTCAGAGGCTGAGTACATTCTTGTGCATCGGAGCTATATCAAGGGCCGCATCTGTCAGCACTAGAAAAAGTTGGCTAATAGAAGGTGGAAAGACCTACAATCCTGTAGGGTCTGCAGGAGTCTGTGGCAAAACGCGCTGCATTTCTTATGGAACTGAACGGGAGGGACCCTGGGCCGTGGGTGTAAGACTAAGACTGCAACACAACACTTCTTGTCATAGCTGTAATTCATCAGATGCAGAAGAAACAGTGGAGCACCTGCTCTGCGATTGCCCAGCACTATGTAGGACAAGAACCAGGCTTCTAGGCAAAAACTGCTACTGCGTTTTAACAGACATACGTGATATTTACCCACTGCAACTTCTTAAGTTCTTGGACTCCGCATGCTGGATTTGAGAGAAATAACAGACCAACCAACCAACCATAGCGATATCGGAGTGCCAATTTGCTTGTCTACGCTGATATTTGGAAGACTTTGTCAAGGGTTGACCGAAAGAGCCCGGAAGACTCAGCTTTAACTTCGAAAAGTAGCGAAACCAGTTTCGTAAGCAAATTTGGCGCTCATTTTCACTCAGGCACCCACCATTACCATAAGTCCCATATCATTTTCGACGATCTTGTACTGCATTTAACACTTTTCGGTATAATTTGCTGAATCTCCAACTCCAGAGTAAAATTACTTATGACTAATAACTCGTTACTACCCTGTCTGATCCTTCGTGATATCTATACCTCAGCAAAATCCTTGCTGTACCATTAAGCTCCTGCCATGCATACTTTGCCTCCGGTGCATTTGGATGAACCGTAATTCTGCGATTGGTCAGCAGGTATTGCTGGATAGTTCTTGAAAAGTTCGAGTGCTTTACAAGGACTTCAACGCAGCTGGCTGTCACTGCAGACACTAGTCTGGTGTCCGCGCTACCTCCCACCAAGTATTTGTAGCCATGACCTCCGAGGTAGCACCCCATGTCATTGTACCTAAAGCAGAAAAGCATCTTACTATCTGGGCGTTGTTGTCATAATCAATTTTGACCGTGCTCCGCCAAGAAAGTATTTGGTTCTCGCTATTTTTTTCAGTGACGCTTTGGAACTGGATTTCTAAGCCAGGGACTTCCTCAGATGGCGATTGCCCGCTAGGAAGGAGAATGTTACTCGCGCCTATCACAACGAACTGGAATGACTTTAGTCTTATGCAAAGATCAGGAGCGTACTTACTGCTCTGACTAGGTGCTGTCAGAGATGGGAAGTACCCAAATCGGTGTTTACTAGTAGCACTTAATTATATCGTTTTTATTTCATATTTTTTAGGCACTTGCTTGGACAAGTTTTTTTTTCACATCGTTGTTTTTTTCGAAAAGCCGGTATAAAGGCAGACAAGAAAATATACAAAAACATTTATAGAACAAAGCTTATAAATAGGTAAGAATATAAAAAAAAAAATCCCCAAAGTATTTGTCTGGCCTTTTCCGTATAAAGACGTGTATCTCATTATTTAGTTTAGGGCCGGTTACCGACTCCCTGTTATATGCATGGAGACGAAAACGTCGATAACGATGTTTAACCGCAGATTAGTGTTAACCAGACATTGAGTAACCGGCCCTTAGTCTCACATGCTCGGCTTTTAGCCTTTTAGCTAAACAAAGATACATTCATTATTAAATGGAAGAGGAAATTTTACTGATTCTTATTTATTTTAATTTTGATGTAGAAAAACTTTGTACTTATTTGCTCTTTTCTTAAGAAAAGCTATCTTCGCTGTTAATAGTTTTATTGTATTTTTTGGTCGACTTCATACCCAGATAAGCACTTTCACTGTATAAAAACTATGTAAAGTAAAACCGGTTTATCCGTTTTTTTTTTCTTAGTTTCTCGGCAATCGGTTTTTTTTCAAACTGCAATTTTTAGAATTACCCGAAAAACGGTTTTGAAAAAAGGCGAATAATTGACTACTGTAGTAGATACTGTGGGAATAATGTATTTAGCTTTCCGCGCTTACGAATTTTTTTTACCATCCCCTTTTCTGACATGTCGGGATGGTGGTTCGTTTCAAAAAACAGCATTATTGACTACAGTAGAACCGTAAAAAGAATTACTTCAATAATATTGTGTTGTGCTCTTTCTTAACCGCCAACATCTGCCTTTGGGCAAAAAGTTGATAAGCGGCCGACATGCGAGCCTTAATTACATGAATTTCTAGTGATTTAGTAAGACTTCGTCTAGAGGCTCCGTCCTTGGTGTATTTATCTACTCCCATCACTTCATTTACAGTTAAAAGTTTCTATAGATCTCATTCCAATGATAGCGCATACATATGTACATGTAGTGGGCTTCCTTTCCCCAGTGGCCGCAGGTACATATACCTTGCTAAGGAAATATTGAACTATCTTTACTCACTTTGTCGGGTAATACACATCGGGTAATACATATGTATGTATGTGTTATACTCTTGAGTGGCGTCGGCCTAAAAACTTCCCGTCGACTCTTCAACTTTCCGATTTTGGGGCAAAGGAAAGAAAAGGAGTGAATCTGAATGTAAAAGTTTCGATTGAGATAAGATACTTATGGCGTTGACAAAGAGATACCTTCTTAGAGTCATTCCGCAACAAATGTAAGCATTATCTTTTAAAATTTCAATTTTTATTTGAGCTTTATAAAAAGACATCTTACAAAGGACTCCAGTTTTGAGTTGCTTCATACTCGTATACACTTACTTACATACATACGTTACTAACTTTAGTAGACTATTGACTATTCGTTAAGATACAACTGCGCAAAGTTTGTCAAGATAGTGACGATCCAGCTATCGAAAAACAAATATGTATATACATACATATTTACATAAGTTAAATAGCACTAAATAAAAAAAAGTTAAACAAAATTAAAATTTTTATGATTGAGGTGATTTTACACGTTACTTCTGAGGTGCATACTACCACTCTTTCGGACCTCGGTTCCAGCGTTCCCACGACAGTCGGGTCTGCGTAACCGGAACGACCCAGATTTATATTTGGCCAAGCACTGTCACTCCAGCAACACTCCCCAAAACCAGAGGACCGAGCAACATCTAAATTAGAAAAAGCCTTTTCTAACAGCGAACGCCGCTCGATAGGCAATGGGAAAACTCCGATTGTATTTCTGTCATGAGAAAGGTTCTCATAGTCAATTTGTCATTCGGAGCCGGTGTGAAACTATAGATCCTAGATCCTATGTCTAGCATCATCAAGATACACACCCCAAAATAGAGAAGAAGCTCGACCAAATACCAAAGTTTAGCCTTCGAAATATTATTATCATTAAAAAAGAAAAACCTTCCGCCGTATAGGAAACATCACCTATTCTAAAACTGCTTCCGCATTACTTCAGAGTGGCCTTGTACATATGTACATATGTACATATGTCTCTAATTATAAAGCACTATCGATCTCATTCCCACCGAGGTGCCAATGTTTCGTTCGGAGTAACTTTTCCACGAAGTTATTGTCTCCACCCAAGGGTGTGCGGGATATTATTCATTCATTCTTCTTGGTTGCGGTATCCGACTCTGCTTATAGTATTCCTCTTCTTACTTGAGCTGCGATGTCTCCAGGAGTTATATTACTTATCACTAAGAAGTGCAGTGTAGTCGAAAACCTTACGATATAGCAGGTTCAACTCACTACTTTTAGGTAACCCGAAAGTCAGCTCCAGCTCAGATCTCAACAACCGCAAAGTAATTCTCCCTAGACTTTTTTTGTGCCACCAGTAGTAGTGTTTCCAACTTTGTCTTTGTAATCATCACGGTCTCATAATCTTCTTCGTTTGGGTTTAGGCTCGGTGAACTTCCGCATAGCTGTAACCCCTGGGTTCA